AACGATTCCTCGAAATTTTCGTGAACTTGGCAAAAGGACAAAAGAATATTTAAAGAAAATAAATAAAATTGCTTAAATAACCTTCAAAGCACTGATTAAGTACAATAAATCACTGCGAACATAAATCGTACGCCCCCCCCCGGAAAGTTTACTCCATGACTGACTGATTGCCTGACTATCTGATTGCCTGTCTGACTGATTCGTGTGAATTCGCCAGCCATCACAACAGTGTGAAGTGAAACTTCACACTAAAAACTGAATTGGTAATAATTTAGATAAAAAGGAGAAATTCGTAGGAAAATTCACACCATGACCTCAGAAATGCATTTATAAGTGCAATTATCTTAACAATACGATACTGTATAAATGTATAGACTATAGAATGATGTAACAAATGTTGTATGGCAAATGTATTCTTAGCTGATCTGAGACAACAGATTTTCAAAATTTTCCGGAGGAGCATGGGCCCCACTGGTAGTGTCCTCTAGTAGTGCCCTTTTTGGCATCTCTTTTTACCTTAGAATCAACCTTTGATTTGAAGCATGTTATATCTACATTAGTTTTACGTTATATTTTAAGATTCTCAGCAAAATATTTTTTCCTATAAAATATAGCATGGCATCCAGTTTGACTTGCTAGTGTCACACAGTTAGAGACTTACAGTGTCCAAGTGTCGATTTAAAGAAAATGTTCAATGTTCTCTTGTGGTCCCAGAAAGTAAATTATATTTTTTCCACCCCTGATTGTAATGGTGAAATACACATGTAGTAGTAAATACTGCCCCATCAGGATCCCCCCACGTGACGATACCCTTATTATTTACCTTCCCATGAACTCGTCCTTTCTGATATCTCTATCGTAGACGCTGACCTCCAAGATCATGTCAGTATCAGCGAAGAATTTCAAGTCAAAATGTTCCTTCCATTGTGGGTTCAGAGTTTCCTTACATGATTTGCTCTTGTATTTTTCATTACCAAGTTTGAAACGACAGTACGGGTCACTTGTTCCTGATGGAAAGAAAAACAAACAAAATCGCGTAAGTATTTTAAGATAAACGGTAAGATACACTTCTGTTTTCTTATTAGAATGTTAAGGTTTGTAATCCAAGTGAGTATATATACATTTTAAGACCTAACCAGGAACGACTGCGAAAAATGCAGCACAAGGTCCTCTGGTAGGAATTGAACCTACGGCCCTGCGATTCCGGTGCAGCGCTCTAACCAACTGAGCTACAGAGGCCAGCTGTTGAGCCGTAACCGTAAGTTCATGTATATATAGGTAAATTGAAATGGTCAAAAGGTTACTATTAAGTGCTTTTAGTCAATTAGTAAAATTGCAAAATTTGGCTGTGAAATGTTGTAAAGCTTGGAAAATATAGTCTTGCAAAGTTTGCAAATTTTGTATACTGTATGTTTGTATTACGTGCAGAAATTGTTAGCATTTTCGGCTCAAAAATGGTAAAAATTTCCGCACGTAATACAAACATACACAAAATATGCAAATTTCGCAAGGCTATATTTTCCGTATTTTACAACATTTCGTAACCAAATTTTGCAATTTTACTAATTTTAATAAGTTCTTTACGGGAATTTACTTCTTTTGCCTAGATCAAAAATTAGTCTAACATGCAAGTTGTCAGTATCGTTTGAAATGATTCTCTCATAACCTACCATTGTCATCCATAGCAATGAGTTTCTGTCCTTCGACCAAGGTTACTGACACAACACCGTCTTTTTGTAAAGCTTTCCCACTCTCTTTTGCTTGAGCTGCTCTTCGCTGACTGGCTCGTCTCATCAACTAGAAATTGATACTTATAAGTGAGTCATACTACGGACAATGTCAAAAACCACAAAACAACAAAAACACCACCAGCACTATCAACACCATCATGATCATTACAACTATCATGACCCCCACCCCCCACCATCACCAATACCACCACCATTATCATCACCACCATTAATTATCATCATCATCACCACCATTATCATCATCATCACCACCACCATTATCATTACCACCATTATCATCATCATCACCACCATTATCATCATCATCACTACCATTATCATCACCACCACCATCATCACTACCATCATCACCACACACCACCATCATCACTACCATCACCACCACCAATAACGAAAATTCCCGCACCTCCTGCCTATCTTCGTTGGTCTTTGGCATCAAAGTGAAGGTCGCTGTAATCTGACCAAGTTTTTCATTTGTTCCACTGGCACTTTGCAGATCCAATGTAAGATCTCGTGGTCTAACCAAAGAAAAAATAATCATTATTTATTACTTTTAAGTTGCGTCATTCTGAATCAAGAAAATAAAGTTACAGATACGGCATATAGTGGGTTCAGGCTAAAGACGTTTTAGATTGAGACTAATTTGAACCACTAGGAATGCATTCCAGCATTTTGGAACAAATATCGCGTGAGGATATAGCAAGCAATATATCTTTAGCCCATGCATTAAGTGACAACACGCCCCCTACTTTTGTAGTTTACTCTGTCTAATGCCAGACGATTTTACTCGACCAGAGGAAAGTGCTGTTACTTAACAAGTTAAACAAATGACTCTAACAAGTGACGCCAAGAAATTATACCCCTGGCCCTTAACAAGTTAAGTTGCAACGTAGTTTGGCAACTCGGAAACAGTTTAAATAACACACACTTTTCTCTAACTGTAAGTACAGTAATAGTTTTCATATAAGCGGCCGTAAATTCGATGCAGAATGCGAGTTGCAACCACTACTGCTTGCTTGTAACAAGTTTGCATAGCAAGTGATTCATTTGTATGGCGTTTAACAAGGGTGTATACACGAGAACTACCCAGTCTTTCCAATTTGACAGAATTTCACAAAAGCAACAGAAAACAGCGCCTACCTGTTTACTTCCATCTGTGATAAATCGACAGTAACCATCCCCATCGGGTCATCGCTGCTAACCCGGTCAAAATCGAACACTTTGATCACCAGTGGCATACTAATGTCTTCAATCGGGACACAAAACTTCTCGTTCCATTGGGGATTGAGGTTTTTGGGGATGGTACGACTCTTGTAAATCTGTTTGCCATCGGCTTTGAATTTGACATACGGGTCGCTAGTACCTGTGGAATTGAAGAGGCAAACACTAAATTATTACATTCAGACACACCTACGTGAATTTGTGGGTGTCATGAGGTGTTACAGGGTTCGTACAAGCCAGGAAGAGTTAAATTCGAGGACTTTTAAGGTCATGTATCAGGAAATTCAAAAACTAAATGGCGGAAAAGGCGTTAGAAATCATTAAGTGACGTTAATTAAACGGCAACTTTAATGAATTGCAAACAGCCTTGGTCTTTCTAAGACATGAACAAAATCAATTTACAAGATGTCCAATTCTTAATGCCAAACAAATTTCAAAAAATATCCACTAAAACAAGAACAATATAAGGACTGTCAAGCACTTCTTTATAAACTCAAGGACTTTCATGGCCTTGAATTTTGGTTTCCAAATTCAAGAACTTTCAAGGATTTGTACGAACCCAGAGTGTTATCAAGCAATTGATGGTGGAGCTCAGAATTCTGATTCTGATACCGGGTCTCAGCTAGAAGTCGTTGGTACATGCTATACGTATGACAATCTTAGTTACATATTTTAATTTTAATTTGTTTATATTATTTTAAAAAATTATTTAATTTAACTTCTCAATTATAATTTACTTATATTTAACTTTAGTTATCATTTATTTAACTTTAATTATAATTACGATTTTATTTAATACATAACCTTAGTTATCATTTACGTTTTATTTTATTTAATATATAACCTTAGCTATCATTTAGGTTTTATTTTATTTAATATATAACCTTAGCTATCAGTTACGTTTTATTTTATTTTATTTTATTTTAATCCAAACCTGGCGTTCTGGTGATGGTTTTAGTATATGGTTTATCGTGAAAGAATTGAGTATGGAAATCAACTAAACAAGGCAAAAGTTTACATTGTATTAGTTTAATGAAGTGGTAAAATTTTAAATTAAGGTTATTATATATTTAAGGTTCTTAATTTGTAATATTCAGCATCAAAAGTGGTCGTATGTTTGCAACCTAAAATCGGTCCACGGCATGAATCCCAATATTTCATGAAGTGACTAGCACTGTTCGCATTATTGGTGGTGCACAGCTTTACATTACTGGGGTTAGGACAGGGGTATGGGGTAGAACTGACAAATTTGTCAGACCAAGCCGGGGTTTGACGTAGGACGGACTGGGATTAGGACAGGGGTTTGGGGTTAGGATAGGGGTTTGGGACAGGGGTTTGGGTTAAGACTGGGGTTAGGCCTAAGGCTGGGGTTTCATGTAGAACCAAGGTTGGGTTAGGACTGGAGTTTTGGTTAGGACCAGGGTTGGCTTAGGACTGGGCTTTGACGTAGGACAGGGGTTCGACATAGGACAGGGGATATGACTGGGGTTTGGGTTAGAGCAGGGGTTTTGGCTTGGACTGGAGTTTGGGATAGGACAGGGGTTAGGACAGGGGTTTGGACTGGGGTTAGGACTAGGGTTTGTGTTAGGGCTAAGGTTTGGACTGGGGTTAGTGTTAGGGCTAAGGTTTGGGTTAGGACTGGGGTTTGGGTTAGGACTGGGGTTAGGACAGGGGTTAGGACAGGGGTTTGGACTGGGGTTAGGACTAGGGTTAGTGTTAGGGCTAAGGTTTGGGTTAGGACTGGGGTTTGGACTGGGATTTGGATTAGAACTGGGACTTGGGTTATGACAGGGATTTGGGTTATGACAGGGGTTTGGGTCAGTCTGGGGTTTGTGTTAGGACTGGAATTTGTGTTAGGACTGGAATTTGAGTTAGGACAGGGGTTTGGGTTAGGTGTACTGGGGTTTGGATCATGGCTACGTTAGAATTAGAGTTAGTATCAGCTTAAATGATTAAAGTGATGCTTACAGTAGGTTTAGGATTAACTTAAATTCACAGTTGGAATAATGGTTAGATTTTAGGATTAGAGGATTAAGATTAGTTTAGGATACGAAATCACGAAATCATGGTTGTTAGTACCGTAACCAATTTAGTTACAGTGCATCCTACATTATTATTTTACTCAGTCTAACGCCAGCCAATTTTACTTGGGGGCACTCGTGTTAATATTGCAGTCATGATATCTTGCCACAAAATTAATTGTTTTAACAAGATATCAAAATTTAAAGATTGTTGATTGGATTGTGAATGCATTATGAGTGGTTGGTTTAAACATCACAATAACAAACTGTTTAGATCTTACCTCGTTACTTCAGATAATCTGCAGACTTAACAATATTATTTTAGTATTAACAATATTTAACATTTTAGTGGTTTAAACTGGTTTATGATGTCAAGAATTTAGTCTTTTAACATTTATAGTTTATTTATCGGTTGCATGTACTATAGACTTAAGCAGGTAGCATTGAATGCCTTGGGAAATGGGTTCCGCAATTCAGGATATGGTGGAGGTAGCTCAGGGTAGAAAGTTTTAGATAATGTGCATGCCAAATATGTATTAGGTCGGGCTATGTGAAATTTCTAGGGATTGCAGGATTTTTTCGAATAATAGGGCCATTTATATGAGCGAAAATAAGCTGGCGCAGCCTAAATAAGTCATGGCTTAAATAAGTCATGAATGGCTTTGTTTGCAAGCCACAGCTAGGATAATTGAAAGCTAGACCTAAATAAGCTGTAGCTTACTGCAAATTGTTTTAAGTTTGTACGAGTTGTTTGCAACTTATTTAATGCCGCAGCTTATTCAGGCTGTGGCTATTTCCCCCTCATATAAATAGCCCTAATATTGCATTTTGGATATTGCTTTTCATAAACAATGCATCTTCATATGGGCTTTCGTTTGGCCCAGCTGGACGATGCAAAGTACTCGTCGCTCTTAAGGGTGAGAGTGGCAATGGCTATCACTGTCTCTGCGGTTGCAGCATTAAATAGATGTATGTTTGGTACAATTTTGTGTGCAAATCCAGACGTTTCCTCTTGTCTGACGAGTGTGTACTCAATATTTCTCATAATGACATTTCCCTTGCAGACCTAAGTGTTTTGTTTTCAGGAATTAGGGATGTCACATTTTCAAATGAAACCACTGAGAACACTGCTGTGAATTGTGCTGTGTAATTTGTCTGTGGAGTATCATGCAGACTCCATCTGTGACAATCATTAATAATTAATCTGTATTTCATATTGCCAAACATTGTATTGCAAAGCGAAAATATACACATAAGCCATTTTGCCCGCTGAAAATATAGGATTTTCATTTTTGACTTATGTAAAATTGGAAATATTTTTCTTTCGTTAATGAATAACCAACAAGCAATAACGATAATTAGCTAATTCTTATAAACCAAACATTGCAATGCTTTAAAACAAAGCTCAATATATTTAATCCAACATGAGCTGGATTAGAAAATAATGTCTGTTTGCTTTAAGTGTTTCGATATTAGAACTTCGGGGTAAAATAACACATTTTTATTAGGCTATCAAAGCAGAATTTATATTGCAAAATTCACGCCGAGATACTTTGCAATATTAATAAGGAATAGCGAATTTTCTAGAGCGCTTATAAAATCTACGAATAAAAATAGACTTGAGCTGCTATTTTGATATGGGATAGTGCAGAAAATACATTTGTATTGTGATACTCGACGACATGGACAGATTTAAAATTAGCAACGCACTGAGGGTCTTCCGTTTGTTTCATTTTTGCTAATTATATTCCCCAAGACGCAGTAAAGTAATGATAATCGAGGTTGGTTACCTGTCTTGTCTCTGGCGGCCAAGTTTATGCCTTCTTTAAGCTCCACACTCAGAGCAAAAAAGGCAAATTTGCCGCTTCTGGCCACTGCTGCTGCCTGTAAAAAAAAAAAGTTAGAACAATATTTAGAACATGAAAAAGTTGCAAATTAGCGGCCGGAAATGGATAAAACCCGACACTTCCGCTTTCAAATAAACAACAAATTCGCGAGTAAAAATATTTAAATCAAGCCTAAAACATCAAAATGTTTTAATCTAACGATAGAATAACACTAAAACTTCATTCATCGGTTAAATGTAGGGCGAAATTTTTCGACCATAACCCCGAAATTCTTCGACTTCAATTATGTAAAGTAAGACACGAAGGCTTTGCAAATAAACTTTTAAAGTCGATACGAATCTAAAGTATATCATCTTGGCTTACCGTCGAGCCCGGTGAGAATTCCACAGGCGAACTCTCCCCTTCGAACGGGAGATTTTCGGGTCTTGCACTCGGGCTCTCTGGCGTTTGGCCTAAAGATACATCGGAATATTTTCGGTTAGCGTGAGTCGAGTCGTGTTGTGTTGTACATGTGTCAGCATTAGTCTCGTCCTGTTGTTTGAGGTCGAAATTGACAGACCGTCGATGCGAAGATCTCATCTCGCTGATGTGATTCAGCGAGCGAGATAGAAAATTTTTCCTACCCTTCTTTTTCTTCTTAAGACTGTTGAATAATCCCTTTTTCTTCTCGCCTATCGAAAGCGATGTCAAATCACACAGGGTTATATTTAAAAATATGGCTAAATAGTAAATTACACTCCAAAACAATACAAGATAACATTATGATCGTCGGCTAAACATACCTTTATCATCGTCTGACATCTTGGATTTTTCTTCGAGAACTTGGACAAAGTTGAAACTAGTAAAGTATAATACCTGCCTTCTGTATAAACTGCTCTTCGATTTACTCGTATCACAACTAGCGAGGACAAATGCGCATGGCTTGTGCGCAGAGCGTCGCGTCGTTGTCGCACCGCAAGCAAGCTTTCTTGCTACAGGTGGCTGTTGAAACCGCTAAATCTCAAACAATCTGGCTTTCTTGCCGTAAAATTAACCCAGCTAGCCACAACCGACGAACTCGTATATTAGATGCACTCGGTTTACAAATTTTCTCAGCCTACAATAACTCGATTTCATAGCGGGGTATAATTGCTCCGATGCAAACACCGTGAAAATATTTCAATTAATTATTTATAACGCTCCATTAAAACGCCATTCCCAGGTAATTAAGAGCGGTTAAAGGTTTGTAAACGCCGGCCATTTTGCAGTCATTGTTTTGTAAACTTCGCGTAATCCAAGCACTGCACAAAAAGAGCTAAAACCTAGCTATTTGCATACATATTTTGCGTTAGATTGCCTCTTTTCCACATAAAAATAGCGTGGTTTAATTATTCATGCCTCGACGGGTAGCGCTTTTGATTAACATGAAAAAGACGCGACATAATGTTTCGACTTATGTCGCAATATTAAAACACTTAACTTTTGGATAACTTTTTGGAACTGCAATTATTTTAAACACATTAGATTGTCTTAAATAACTTGCTCAACAAGTAACAATATAATAGAACGCCAGTTTCGTCTTTTGATTGTGCTCAAAGGCGGCGAACTTGGGTAGGGTAGTTTTAATTAACATATTCGCAATGTCATATTTAAACAAGATTATAATAAACTTTATAGTTGGCAAAGTCAGATCTGATTGTTTTGACTTCAATAAACTTGAATGTTTGAAGGATATTGTTAATTGAACTGCATAGTTTACTGTAGCTTTGATATTGACATGTGAGATTCATTAATATGGACAAAATTATCAAATGATTTATATTGGAAGACTTGGAAGGGATGATCTGGTCGAAAATACACGCGAAGCAAAAATTCTATCGTGGTGATTTTAAGATGGCTTCATACGTCATTGTTGCCGTAGCAACAAGTTCACAGTCGAAAATATTTATGTATCAAATACAAATAGAATAAAAAAAAGTTCACGTTGCGATTGGCTCATTTACGGACTTTGTCACATGACCTGTGCAGAATCGAGGCTGTCGAGGCCATGATTCGACCAGCTCTTTTTAGGGCAAAGGACAGCGAAAATGGTCTGGCATTAGACAGAGAGTAAAACGCCCCCCACCCCGCCCTTTACATGCTATAGAGTGCGGACATGATATGATATGAACGTTTATCACAATAAGAACAACATTTTTTAAATTAACAAAATTGTGCAAAATAATTTTAAATCTATGAGTTGTCCCGCCCCAATTCGATTGATAATACATGATATAGAATATAAATAAAGAGTATATACACTATATACTTGACTATCTTGCGTATGAGAAACTTAAAAAGACATGTAAAAGAATGGGGGCTAGTGCAAGTTTTAACTGCATCTGAGTTTAGTCACTTGGTTTCACTGAACATTTAACAAAAATGTGGCATATTCAATCGCTAACCTGCAACTGTTCAATTCAGCCTCACGAAGTGCATGGATCTTTTTCCACCAGTCGACGCATCTCGAATTAATCCAAAAATTTCTACTTTCAAGAAGCTGTTTTTAGTATTTCTTCGGAGGAAGACTGAGGAATCCAGGATTCCTGCCTGAGCCAAGATTTCGATTTTTGGAGAAACTTTGATATTTTTTAGCGATAGGATTGTTCATGTAATTGTTTGTATTCGTCGATGGTGGATTAGCAGCCTTTTTGGAGGTGTTTTTTGATCTAAAAACGAAGAAAGTTGGTTCTTGTCCTTAAGCTAAGCTAAACTAACTGTATTTATACTGGATAGTTCTATCAGTTCTAAACTGTTCTTTCTAGAGGTCCAGTAAAGTCATCTCTTATTGATCCAGTGTTCCTACAGGAGGAACCTAAGATAAACTAACTTTATTTATACTGGATAGCTCTATCAGTTCTAAACTGTTCTCCCTGGAGGTCCAGTAATTAAAGCATCATCTCTTATTGATCCAGTGTTGCTACATGAGAAAACCTAAACAAAACTAACATAAAAAAAAAACCCAAAAAACAAAACAAAACAAACAAAAAAAAAATTATTTATACTGGATAGCTCTAACAGTTCTAAACTGTTCTCCCTAGAGGTCCAGTATAAGGATCATCTCTTATTGATCCAGTGTTACTACAGGAAGAAACCTAAACTAAACTAACTTTAAGTTCTTTGAATGTTTGCATGGCGATAAAATATAATTGGGTTTTTTTTTGGTTTTTTTTGTTTGTTTGTTTTTTTTTATAATTTTTTTTGCAGTAATAAATTTACGTGGTGTTTCCACAAACAAAAACAATTAAACTAACTTTATTTATACTGTATAGCTCTATCAGTTCTCAACTGTTCTTCTTACAGGTCCAGTAAGGATCATCCCAATTATTATTCCGGTGTTACTACAGCAGAAAATCTAAACTAAACTAACTTTATTTATACTGGGTAACTCCATCAGTTCTCAACTGTTCTTCTTACAGGTCCAGTAAAATCATCTCTTATTGATCCAGTGTTACTACAGGAGGAACCTAAGATAAACTAACTTTATTTATACTGGATAGCTCTATCAGTTCTAAACTGTTCTTCCTAGAGGTTTAGTAAGAATCATCTCTTATTGATCCAGTGTTACTGCAGGAGGAAATCTAAACTAAACTAACTTTATTTTATACTGTAGATGTCAAGTAAGTGCCATCCCTTTTTGGTCTAGTGTTACTTCAGGAGGAATTCGGGTAAAAGCTGTGATGTTGAATAAAGTAAAGTTATATGTTAAGTAAACATTAAACTTACTTAGATGCTGCTTGATAATTAGATTTTTTCTTCTTCGATTGAAACTTTCCTCTTTTCTTGAATTTGGATTTCTTGTTTCCAGCAGTGAAGTTACCAGCCGACGCCCAATATGGTGATTCACATTCGTCTCCTCCCGTGCTCATTCTATCGTTTTCGATCATGCTCTCAAAATCACTGGTCATAGCATTGTCTGATGTCAGCAGAGCTCCACCGTATGCTAGAGTTAACTGAAAAAAAAAACCAGGACAAGTTTATGAAATGCGGAATTCCCTACATCTTGGATAGCTTTATCAGTCCCGAGTCTGAACTGTTCCGTCTAGAAGTCCACTTTCCTCATCACTTATTCGTTAATAATAGAACGAAACCTAAACTAAACTAAACTTTATTTCACACTGCATAGCTCTATCAGTTCTAAATTATTCTTCCTAAAGGCCCAGTAAGGATCATCTCGTATTGATTCACTGTTTCTATAGAAGGGAACCTAAACTAACTTTAATATACTGGATAGCTCTATCAGTTCTAAACTGTTCTCCCTAGAGGTCCAGTAAGGATCATCTCTTATTGATCGAGTGTTACCACACGAGGAAACCTAAACTAAACTAACTTTATTTATACTGGATAGTTCTATCAGTTCTAAACTGTTTTCCCTAAAGGTCCAGTAAGGATCATCTCTTATTGATCCAGTGTTACTGCAGGAGGAGTCTAAAATAAAACAAGGAAAATAAAACACCACTCGTGCTTGATAGTGACAGCTAAGTGACAGCTATTGGTGATACACACCTCCAGGAACTGTTGTCCAAATTTACCCATCTTATACTCCGTCACTCCTTCTATATCAAGCATCTCCTCGCGAGTCATCGGAAGCTTGTCGGCCATCTGTCGGAGAGTGACGTCGGCAAAGATGTGGTGTGGTTTCAATCCGCTTTCTTCTGCTAATCTCTTACAACACGAGACTAACTGTTGATAACACGTGTTGGTCACGTTGGTATTGTTCGATGTTTCGCCTTTGGTATCTGTGCCACGCTTTGACGACTTTGTTCCACGTTTGAAAAACCGAGGAAGCTGAAAATATTATGACATTAATGGAAAACAAGTAATACATTGTAAACATCCCTGTCAATCTCGGACAAAATACACATTCTTATTTTTTTATTGAGTTTCTCACTCATTGGTCAGCGGATTTCCCCAACAGGCTATCGCCCAGTTGACAGGGGATCCGAGGTACGTACGATTTAACGTCCCTATCCAAGAAGACGCGAAAGTCTAACCATTCACTGATGTCAATGTAAAGGTAGCTCTTTCTTCTCAATGGACCTTTCCCCCTTAATTATAACTAAAATTTTGATCTAGACAAGTCTAAAGAGCATCACAAAATTAGTAATATTCCAAAGTTTCGTTGCGAAATGTTGTAAAATGCGGATAATATAGCCTTGCGAAGTTTGCAATTTTCAGTCATTTTGCATTACAAACGGCAAATTGATGTCCCGATTGGGCTGTCAATTTCCCGTGCGCAATACAAAATGACTGAAAAACGGCAAATTTCGCAAGGCTATATTATCCAACACCGCGGAAAAACGTCTGCGCATGCGTCAACCTTACCTGTAATAGTATTGCGAACTTGATGAGAAGCTGTTCCGAACGTTTCCGAAGGCTCAAAATGGCGGTAAAAAGGAGTGACTTCATTGTGCGTCTTTACAGCCAGATTTCAAGCGCAAAGATAACCATGTCATTCTAAAAACTAGGAATAAATACAGCCAGAAGGTTCAAGAAATTGTATTGTACTAGAACATAAACTAAAGGTGATTGTTGACAAATTTATCGTCTGAAACATTTTGTTTATCAACTAAGCAACGACAATTTCCGAATTTTCGTTTGAGATACATTTCTTTAAAAAAAACTGTGTCGCCAAATATAAAAAAATTTCGTGTTCACAATAATTAAACTTTAGGATTTATTCTGCAATTTGAGTGGGTTAAGAAGCTTAACTTTTCGAGAGTTTTCTTAACTTTTGAGTTTGAATTTTTGTTTTGAATAATTTTGCAAATATTTTCGAAGTCGTGTCCGTTAAAATCAACAATTTTTTACATGAATTATATTTCATTCCATACTTTAAATACCAGGACGCTTTCAATTAATGTCTAGTCTACCCATTTGCTATATTTTCTCGTTTGTTTTACTAATTTTTGACCAATTAATAAGCATGTTTTTGTTTTGGAAATTGATATTCAAATTCCCCACCATATTTTCATAATTTGGTGCATGCGCAGACGTTTTTCCGCGGTGTTATATTATCCGCATTTTACAACATTTCGCAACGAAACTTTGGAATATTGCTAATTTTGTGATGCTCTTTCAAGCTGTGATGAAATTTTTGTTTATAGATCAAAATTTTAGTTATAAGGGGAAAGGTCCATTATTTTAAGAGCTTGAGTAGAGGTCCGACCAAGAATTGAACACGGGTCTCCCCCAGCTTGAAAGGCAAGCGTGGTGACTACGATTCCAAGTGTTGGTAGGTTTCACTAAGCAGTATCGTGCAGCAGATGATGATCAACCTGCGGTTATCAGAGGGAGAAAATAATGTTCATTCTTTTCATTATGTGTGGTAGCTTTATATTTGGTGGGCAATAAATAGCAGGTCAATTCAGCTAGCATTTCTACTGTGTTGAGGTATACACTCTCAACGCCTTTTCACACTTCGTTCTTGGACGAAATTTGTGAAATTTCAAAACATGTAGTTCAATTTTCTTGCTCTTATATGCATCAAGCACAGATTTTTTGTTTCCCGTTACAGACGCAGTTCAGTTTTTAAATATTTTGATTACACATAAGTTCGTTTTCATCCTCAGTTAATCCATAACACTTAGAAAAAAATGCCGCCGTGAAATGTAGAATTGTCGCCGAGTTCGATCATAACGGAGGTAATTTTTGCCTAATTACATGGAATGGCTGAATTTAATGTGAGGCAACTATTTTCTGCTTAATCGACTAACGTGTTACCTTTACTCGATCATTTAAAAAGTCCATGGCTTTCGGTCCAAGTTTTGCGTACGATATGACTTGAGAATGTGCCCCGACAGTCAGGTCTTCCGCCAAGATATCCTGCATGACCAACATGCGAAACAATCTCTCTGCATCATTGCGGTGAAAGTTCTCGTCTGCTTTTCCATACATCACACAGCGATTGAGAGATTCTCGTTCAACTTTGGCGTTTTGACTGCCCTGAATGTGTGTGGAATGGTGTGAAAGATAGGACAGTTGTCGAAAAGAGTTAAAATTAACCCATGCTACCGGCATGGTGGCTACTGTAGTACACGAGCCTTTTACATCTACGATCGAATATATTGAATTCGGCAAAATACAGCTTTCTGATTATAATTTCACCTCGGTCACGTGTGGGATCTTCACTCAGTACAGGGGTCAGTAGTACCATGGCGTACCTGTGGTACGGATGGCGCTATACACTGCATGGTGATTTTTTCAAGCGTTGCAAGCCCCCCCACACACACACACACCCCAGTACTATAATTTGAACTCTAGATACAAAACACTGTTGATTTTCTCGGAGTATACTCTGTAATAACACTGTGTCAATAAGATCTGTCAGTTCAGAAAGTCCCTCAGAGTTCCAGTAAAGGCAGCCCTTGTTGGTCCAGTGTTACTGGGAAGGGAAATCGACTACTCAGGGAAAACCGTTGCGGAAACACTCAGACTAGGGTGAAATTATAAAATCAACTCTCACTACAAAGATAAAGGCACGTGGTGATGCCAAGTACCATCAGTGCCACCATCATCACGATGATACCATCATTACAGTATAACCATTTACAGGACTGGTATATGTTGGCAATTTTCCAAATAAGTTATTAATCAGATACGTCGTCCTTAAATCGTACCTTAAACACATCAACAAGATGTTTTAGAGTCAGCTGTGCCATGGGGCGTTTCCAGTTGCTGTTACCTCGATGTATCAACGTGTTCACAGACTCTACAACCATCTTGGCGACTTGTGTGACATCCATGTCAACCATCTCCCCAGCACATGAGCAGTTATCACAGATTGTGGCCTGGTTCTCACTGCATTCAGCGCTGTCGAAGCCCGTTTCGCCGAAGTATTCTAGCAGCTGAGCACGTCTGCATTCAGTTTGGTTTTCACAGTATTGAACGACGCGATAGAGATTGTTCATGTGAACACTTGCTGATGCCTTGTTCATTGTCTTGTCTGATAGAACCATCCTGAGTAAAGTAAGGACAGGAAATAATTCACAAGGAAAAACAAAAATTCTGGCCTTAAGAATTGAAGTCTTCTGAAGCCCTCTGTATAAAGGAATATCGTTCCTTCGGAATACATTTTTATCATATTTAAGGTTTGAAAATCTGAAACTAAATTAAGTTAAAAAAACATTATTAATATGCTGAACAGCTTTATCAGTTCTGAACTTCTTCTAAGAGGTCAACTAAGGATGGTTCTTTTGGTCCCGTATACTCCACACGCGCAACATGTAATGTAATCCACGATCAGACTTAGACCCTAAACATGCTGACGGTGCAGTTCCTGTCACTAGGCTAGTAGATTTATAATCAATTCTTTTACCATTAAAAGTAACTTTATTTATACTGGATAGCTATCAGTTCTACAGTAAACAGCTCACACTAGAGTTCCAGTAAAGATCATCTCTTATTGATCAAGTTTTACTACAGGAGGAAACCTAAACTAACTTTATTTATACTGGATAGCTCTATCAGTTCTTCACTGCTTTCCTAGAGGTCCAGTGAGGATCATCTCTTATCGATCCAGTGTTACTAC